TCTTCATATATTCGAAATCACAGTTTGGCTATCTGATTCCTATCCTCGATTACCCCATATGTGAGGATTTAGAGCAAATGAGGTATATGTCTATGCCAGGGCCTTTGAATCTTCCTCTCCCTAGTTGTCAAAATCATGAGTCGGTTATCATCTTACTCATCCCTACTCGGGGGGTTTCATCTGTCATACGTAGGATATGAAATAAGAAGCTAAAAATATAGGTGGGCCCCAAACAATAAGACACAATGTCGGTGGGGCTGGGAAAGACGATAACCGACAAATGGATTTAAAGCCTAAGGAGAGGAAGATTCCCAGGAAGTAGTATGGACATGAACTTGGATATGTGCATCATCTGTTCTAAATTCTCAAATATGTGGTAATCGAGAACGGGAATTGAAGATTCTTATGTAGCCAGTTTTCAGACAGCCAAACATTGATTTTGATGTTTTACAGCGGCAAATTGATAAGTGGGTAGGGAAAAAGGGGGGACGGAATGTATGTTAGAAACCATGCAAACGCTACCTGGTACCGGTGGTGGAGATGATTGAGCTTCTATTAGCCCACTTATAGCGAAACACTCTTTGGCGATATTGGAGGAAACGAGAGCACAGAATTGTATTAATAAGTAGATGAGCCATATTAAGTGCGGCACTAGAAGGTAGGTGTGATGCCACAACGGAGTTGCCTTCACTTGTCAGTGATAAGTTTTAAGTCTGTGCTAATGATGGCATCTCTCACTGACAATGCCGACTACGATGCCGGCGAATCGTTTGGGTACGTACCCAGCCAATTTTCAAAGGCTGAAAATCACGAATACTATGGCAGAGGACACAGGACTAGGTACGTTCCTCAAGGTCTAACTAACGCTATAAGGCTAAAGGAGACTGCGACCATACAGAAGGCCACACCATTTTGGTCTTCAAATATATTATTATTTGGCTTAACTATTGTGTCTTCAACCCGTATATTCTTACATGGTTATCACTTAGCCGAGTAGCCGGTAACTCAGTATCACTTCTAGACTTCTCTGCTAATGGTCACAACTCCCAGCAAATCTTCTCTAGATTGTTATTCCTACAGGCTTGAATTCATTGAAAATATTTGTTTTCTATCTAAAAAAATTAGATAGGCATTGTTTTATTATGACCTAAGTGACTATCTTTATTTTGTCATGATATCCCTATCGTGAAAAGTCCAAATATTCGTCTAAGTTTTGCGTATAGATGATGCATTAACTATCTTATTAAAAAAATATTGTATTTTTCCACAAATGCATTACTAGGGATAATTGGCTGTGTTGAAAAAAACCTGTCGACTTACAAATTGCTGTCATACTTTATCTTCTATTCTTCATAGCTAATTTAATGTTTTTTCATTCTTAAAAGTCAGACACAACTGTTAGAAACCTTTATTGCGAATTAGAACTAAATTAGCATACCTAGATGCATTTGTGTTTATAAATAGAAATAATTTAAAAAATGTCTGAATTGAGTTGTGGCAGATTTTAGATTCTTGTATTTCTAATTTTCCCCATCAGAGAGGAGGGACTGTAGATCCAATAAGTTCTCTTTAGCGTATAGTTACCTTACTCTCTTCCTAAGGGAGGATAGTTTGATCACTTAACTTAGGAAAACATGCTTTGCATTTATATTTTTGAATTAACAATATTGACAACCTTGTAGCAGGTGGCCGATCATCTGACTTGTTACTAGTCTTTTCATCATTTGACAATCATTGTGCTTATAATCCCCCTACTTTGTGGCTGAAAGGCTGAGACCGGATAACCAAATAGCAGTTATAAATGGATTGAAGAGGTTTTATTTATTCTTGTGTTAAAGCAATTAATTAGTGGTAGGCCAGTCAATTTCATTTGTCTGTAAGCTTATTGAAAAGGCGCAGGAATTTAAAGAAAATAACTTAGGCGACATGTCTTTTTTCTCACTTACACATAAATTATAGACTGGAAGACGAGTGCACTATTTAAAGCAGGCTTTTTTCCCATCAGCACAGATATTACTCATATTTCAGCCTCCATTCCCAGGCCTAGCTCGCTCTTTGTGTGTGGATTAATCACATCCGTGCCAGTCCGACCTCAGCCTGTCATTGGATCCCCAGGCCCGGACTCTGCACACAAGGCAATCAAGCATCAGAAACCACTTAGAAAATGAATTTTACGTCCCACAAATTCCTTTGTGTGAAGTCCTGGCCGGATCCTTTTCCCTGGGCCACCATCTCCTTACGCTTGCTGGCGCGCTTTTCTTGCGCTATTCTTTGGCCCCATATTTCCACGCGCTTGCAGCAGTGTCTTGCCTCAACAAATCGCTCATTGTATCTCCCAATAGTTCGAATATCAACTCGCCATCTTGGTTACAGTGCCATAGCTCCAACCAATCCAGCTTGTCTGATCAGCCTCTCTTCAGAGTGACAGTCATTGTGCGCCTCCTTACTTCTCTGTACGTCGTTTCTTAACGCCTGGCCTTCGCATCGGATCTTCTCTTAAAGGAGGATCACTCTCACTTAGCGTTGAAACAAAAGCAATGCCTGCAATGGCCGTGTCAGAAAGTCTGCATCTATGAGAACTTATTTTTTCCGCAGCCTTAGAGAGATTTTGCCATGGTTGATTTAGAATCAAGGCCGCGTTTCCTGGTTGCACAATCAAATTTATGCTTCTTTCGCCTTACTACACTACACAGTATTTCTTTTCTGTTTTCAGGTTCTCTCTATCCTCTCCTACCTGTACCTCAATTTTTATATACGTAAAAACCCCATCTACTGTCACAGCTATTTATTTATTTACAGCCTCTGCTCTACATTATTTCGTCTCCTATCTATCAATCGGTCTTGGTCAGGTCCTCTCTTCCATACATAGGGAAGTGAGCAGACGACGCTAACATTTTTATTCATCCATTATAATTTTATGTATCGACTTAATCGTATATAGAGACAGGGTCATAAGAAATAAGATAAAGCGGAATAGATGCCGCTTTGAAACATCTATCGCTGTATTTTTGTCATAATATTACGAAGCGTTTTTTGTTATACTGCCTCGTTAATTTAAATTCCCCTCTTTTGTACATTACCCATCATTTCCCGCGAATAGGTACATTTACTCCGGCTTCACATCCCACGCTCATAGTCCCCAATTCATCCGCATCTCTCAGGATTACATATCTTTCTTCATACCTCTGCCATCAGCACTGATATTCTATTCTTTATTCCATCAATGCTATTTATACTACTACCATTCTCCCATCATTACTACGACCTATAACCCCGATATCACTACTTTGCTACCTATTTACATTTCCTGTCAGATGGATCACTCACTGGCTCGGAATCACTTCGAATGGCTGGGCCCTCTGAATTGGAAAGAAAAATTCAGCAACCAGATATTAGCAAAGCGTGCACTGCCGATGATAAAGATCACGTCATGGGGAAAAGACCCCAAATTCAACTCCTGCCACTTGAGACAGTATCGGAGTATACAGGTATGGTGGCAGAGACTATGGCAACAGACCGATCTGAAGGGAAAGAGAAAGTGACAGTCTTGGAAAAGGCATCTTCAGACTTCGGGAAGATTCCAGATATCGGACTCACAGATTTAGCCGATATTCAGGTAGATCATATTGATTTATGTCTTGGGCATGCATAGAGAGTGACTTGATAGAGTATTGTTAGATGAATAATTGTTTCATGATTACTATTTAATCAA